GGGAAAGTCTTCCTTCCAGCATTCCTTTACCCTGGTCTCCTGGCTCAGAGATTCCTGAGGGCTGGTCTTACCACTGAAGACAGATGAAAAGGCAGAGCTCAGTAACTCTGCCTTCTCTGTGTCCTCTGTTACCAGGGTCCCCCCTCCATTTAGCAATGGGCCCATATTATCCTTTGTTTTCCTTTTGTTATTGATGTATTTGAAGAAGCCCTTCTTGTTGTCCTGGACATCCTTGCCCAGATTTAATTCCAGATGAGCCTTGGCCCTCGTCTCATTTCTGCTTACTCTGACAACCTCTCTTTATATCATTCCAAGTGGCCTGATTCTTCTTTCATCTTCCGTGTATTTCCTGCTTATGCTTGAGTAATGACAGGTGGTCTTTTTTATCCATGCAGGTCTCTTGCCCCCTTTGCCCAATTTCTTGCTCTTTGGTTCTTGAACCTGAAGGAAGTAATCCTTGAATATAAACCAAGTCTCTTGGACCCCTCTTCCCTGTATGGTCTGTTCCCATGGGATTCTTCTAAGAAGATCTCTGAAGAGGCTAAAGTTAGCTCTCCTGAAGTCCATGGCTACAATCTTACTTGCTGCCCTGCTTGCTAACACTGAACTTCACAATCTCATGGTCACTACTGCCAAGGCTACCCCCAACCTTCACATCTCCAAAGACATAATACCAAGTCATGAAGGCTTGCTTAGAACATAGAATTTGCCAAGTCTGAAGATCTGAAACACATCTTGGTGTAAAAATCACATGTTTAATGACATAAATATAAATTATATAAATGTTTATAAATAGTTATATAAAAATTATTTTAAAAACCGCAATATTATATAAAAACCACTGTAAAATATTATTTCCCCAAATGGCTCCATATTCATAAGGATTTTTTCAGATACTTAAAAGCACCTTGTCTACTGTGAAAAATTTGAATACCAAAGAAAAGAAACAGCTGATTTTACATTATTTTTGCTATATACATCTTGAATTTCAAAGACCATGTTTTTCTCTCATTACTCTACCCCCAAGTCCAAGATTGCAAGGACTAGTGAAGTGGGCTGAATTATTATTAAATTACAGAAAGCCACATCTAAAACTTCTCATCAGAGAAGAAGTTTTCTCAATGCTTAAAAGTAGCACTTTTAAGACACTTAAATGAATGGCAGATGGCAAAATATGAAACAAGAACAGACCCAGATGATGGTAGTAGAAGTTATTTTATAGAAGGAGCCTTTTATCCTTGGGAATAATCTCTATTGCTGAAAGTCCTACCCACAACAGTAGCTCTAATGATCTCTGAGGTCTTTGCCGGTCCTCACTGTAGCACTCAGAACTCGACCAGACTAACAGAGCTAAATATGCATAGCTGTAAATCCTGTCTTCAGTATTCCTCAGGATTAATGAACCTGTCAGTAAAAGGGAGGCTGCAAACAAATGGATCCCATGAATGCTGTCCCACAAAACTGGCTGGAGAAAAACGTATTACCGCAAGTAGAGACAGAACTTTCTTTTCCAATAATTTTCCATACACATATTCCACCTAAGAAGAAAAGTTACTCTAAAAACAAAAGGTTTTTTTCCTCCTATGTATTTGAGTTGAGTACAAAAAGAAGGCAAAAGTTATTTCTATTTTTGTGGCAAATGAACTATTTTGATGAATGGGCATAAAATAAAGATTAACTATGTGTACCTGAGAATGAAAAGGTACAGAAAAAGGAGAATAAATCAGTAAGGCAATGTGATCATTTATGACTGCTCTAGAACTGACTTTCAGGTTACAATTTTCTATTAATATTTTGAATCATACAGAACAGGGATGAAAACTATTTTCTTGAACTGCTTGAAATATAAAGCATTTATCTCTTTGGAATTTATGTCATGTAACTGTAAATGTAAAACTTACCAAAATCAGTGCTAGAGAATTACCAGCTATTTCAGCCTGTATACTAGAAAATTATACACTGTAAAAAAAGACAGTGTTTATCTTCATGTTACAGTCAATGGTCCTTTATATTAAATGCTAGTTGTCCAAAAGTTTCTATTTCGTTCAGAGTATAACACAGAAAAAACAAATATTGCCATGAAGCCATGGTTTAATTCACCTTTCTCATTAGAGTTTGACAACAGGATCATATGAGGACTGAAGATAACGCTTTCAAAAAGGGACCTTGGGGAGATCTTGTAAGGAACACAGAAAAACAAAAGATCGGACCTTTAAAATTTAGTTTTCAGAGTCTTCAGTGAGAAAACTTAAGGAAAATAAGGAAATAGCATTAACAGTGTTTTCCAGAAAAGGGTAGCTTGGCAGGACTCCCTACACTTATCTATCAATAGTATGAGGTGGGAGAAATTCCTTCTGAATGGGTGTCATACCTAGAGTCACATAATACTTTGCAACTCCAACCTAAATTAACAATGATTTATATTTTAAATTTCCTTACTTTTACACATTAACACCATGCCTGCAACCTGGAAAAACTGTCTCTGCCATACCCCTGGGAATCACTTCTTTCCAGACTCTACCACTGAGTGATCATTACTGGTGATGAAATACAACCAAGGAACTTGGGGTCATTTTGTATGCAGTGGCTGCATATCCCACATATGCCATCTCTGCAGAGTCTATTACTTTCCAGAATTTCTTTCAAAATCCAACTCCTCAAATACTATGAGAACTTGTCTCCTGCTCTGTCTTCTACCAGGAAATACTATTTAGGGTACCCATAAAATGTAGGAATAAAATCCATCAAAATCAACCCAAACCTTGATATTAAAAAAAAAGAGGCAGACTTGAGTTGTTTGGGGTGGGTTTTTGTACTGCTTTAGTTTGGTGTTTGGGGGTGTCTAGGGATTTTTATTTTTTTTTGCTTTATTTTGGATGTTGATTAATACATATGCATATTGATACAATATTTTGTCAGACACAACCAGTTAGTGTTGATTCAAAAAGTAAACTAGGACTACATAGGATAGAATTTTGATTCTTTTTTTATTAAAGTTCATACACAAGGCATTTAAACACCACTGAGTCCATAGCAATTATGCACAATTACATGCACAGACACCATGTACTGCAGTCACATAATATTTTACTGTGACTCTTGCAATGAGTTTGCATACAACTTATCAGCATTACCAGCAATGTCTGGTAAAAAAAAAAAATAAAAAAGCTGTGTTTTTTCATGTTTCTCAGTGAAAGTAGAAAGTATATGAAAAGCTGATGGAGGAGGCTTATACTTATCTCAGCAAACCAACCAGAAATGGACACGCTTTTCACAGACCAAACTTTTTGAACATTTAAAAAGCAAGTCATGTTTCACAGTGTTCCATGGAGAACTTTTGAAAACAGTACACAATGTTTCTAACTACTAAAAGCTATTTCAAATTATTGTATGTGTTATATTAAACAATTTATATAAATATTTACTGCAGTAGGAATGAAATGTGTTCATGTGTTATATAGGTAGACTCTCTCTCTAACATACTCACATATAAATATGTGGATACCCACTATATACTTTTCTGGTTTCAAATTCTTAGCAGAGTATCACAAACTCACTTGATTTTGTGTTCATGATTAAGTTCACATGACACAGCAAGAAGACAGAAAAACTTTCCCTTGGCCCCGTCTGAGGAGGGTGCCACTCTAGGAAATACAAGTAGAGTTCATGGAATTTATTTTACTCAGTAAAATTAAGAATGGGTATCCTAAATTCAAGAGGAACACTGTTTATATGAGGAAATAAAATACACTACTGTGGTGGTTTGGGCTAGGCCTTCCTTGGTGACCAGTTTGTAACCAAGGAAGGGTCCAGATTTACCCAGTATTCCCTACGATTTTTACGTAAGCCAGACTATAAGAAGAGAGGAGGAGAGGCCTTCGCTCTCTTTCCTTCCGGCGGCTTGGAGGTGCAGGTTCCCTGCTGTTGAGTCTGCCATGTTGGGGAGCGAGGCCTGGCTAGGCCTTGCCGACCTTGGGAGACAGAGGTTGCCGGCGATCGTTCCGGAGCGACTCTCGGTTGTCCCAGGAGAGTAGTGAGATATCTTCTTTGCTAACTCTTTTGTTCTTTAGTTACTAGATCTCGGGCTACTGATTGGGATATATATATATATATTTTATTTTAGTTTTGTTCCTTTTCCCCTTCCCCTTTCCCTTTCCCTTGTGAAATTGTATATAAGTGTAAATATATTTATATATATCAGTTTGGTTGTCCTCTCTCTCGTTTTCGGGTTTTTCTTAGTTTTTTTTCTCCCTCTTCTCCCTGAGGTTTTTTTTGTTGGGGGGGGGGGGACTTCTGGTGGTAAGGTTTGGAGACTTGGCAGGGAGCCAGCTTCAAACCATATCAACTACTTAGGCATGCTGATAACCTAGACACCCTTGCTGTATTGCTGATGCAAAATGTCACCAGTTTGTCTAGCGACATTACCAAATGATTGTACAGAAGACTCCTCTATAGCTTAGAGGGAGCACATGCTTTGAAAAAGTACCATAACTGAATTTTGGGGAAAAAAAATGCACCACATACATGCTGGCACTGATTAAGCCCCATCTGTGTCTGCAAGAGAGTTACAGTGAAATAAGTGCCTGCCAAGTGTTCTCTCATTCAGCTCAATGCCCTTGAACAGACATCCTGTCTGATACACAAATGAAGAAGACTCTGGTGTATTAGTTTACTCTTGAAATGCTTGGGAAATAGTTTTCTTTTTCTCTCTTAATTTAATAGCCTAACAATATTTGGTGGAAGAATGCTGTAATTTTGGTATTTATAGACGTTTTTGCTCCTGTTAAGGTTATGAATGTTATAATAAAGAATATATAGCCCTGGCCAAAAAAGCAGTTTTTACAGGTAAGAATACAGGTGTGCACAAAAGACCCAACAACTGATAATTACATGTATTTCTATTACCCAATAAAATCTCTTGCACTCCAATACAATAAAGTGATCTCTGCAGAAGACATTAAAGTGTGCAGTCGAAAGCACAGAGATAGAGAAGCACTTACATTTGCACTGTGATCACTTCCACTAACACAGACGACATCTTGTTTTTGAATTGTTAATACCTCTTTTGTAAGCTTCAGTCGGATGTCATAAGCATTTTCAGATACTTCATCATACAACAATGCAATACCAGTTTTAGTCTGCAAAAAAGCAAGACATACACAAAAATTTAAGAATATGAACATTTCATAATGACGAATAACAAGCTCTATCCCATTAAAGACATAAAAAGCATACAAATGAGCATTATTTACAGAAGTGGAAAACTAGTCTGCTTTTCAGTCTTCAAATGGATTAGACATAAAAAAGCTTCTTTTGTACTTGAAAATAAAGGCTAAATGGTATTTGAAGTAGATATTAATATGCAAAAAGTAAAAAAAAATAAATTTACAAAAATTTCTTCATTGTACTGTTCCACAAAGGAGTGCTGCCATTTAATGATCTCCTATTTGGTTTTCTTTGTACAAAGACTTATGAAACCATATTAGAAGCAGATAGGTATGTATAAATGGTATGTGAACTCATTTTACAGTTTCAGCCAGAAGTGGCAAAGTTAAATGTTGTTCCTGACTTCAAGATGTTCCTTCCACTGTATCAGAAAATTAACTGTACCGTTCATAAGCATTGCCATTAAGATACAGGGTTCTGTTAGAGTAGAAAACTGTTTTCACTTTGTAAAACACATGATTAAGTACAGCTGTTACATTATTTTTTTTAGATCAAGATGGACTTGCATTACTTAAGTTCATCACTGGACTAATAACTAGTAAAATCTATAGGGTAGTCAAGTATTTGGTATAAACAGTGTTTTCTTCATGAATAGCACAAAAGAAATTCTATTTTAATTTCTCGTTTATTTACTTACATTTCCCACTAATATTCAGTCAGATATTTCCTTAAACAAAAACTGTAGCATTAGGACTGCTTACAGCTATTTGTTAAAATATTCAGACTAATGAAATTTCAGAATTTTCCAGTCACTGCACAGAAGAGAAAAAGGAAAACACCTGTTCTGAAATGAGTGATCATATTTAAAACTAGTATTTGTTTATTAATTTAAAATGTATATAACAGCATCACCACAACAATGCACTTTATGCAAGTGAAGAAAAATCAAGCATAATTTAAGTTTTAGTTGTAGCATTTACTTTTAAAAGAAGATTTAAAATCAAGTTGTTTACTAACAGTTTGTTAAATAGTAGATTGTGTAAAGAACTGAATAATGGAAGAATAAAAGAAGAAACATGTCCTGTGCACTGAATGAAAGCCTAAGGGATTTTAAAATAACATTAATCATGAAATATTAGTTTCATAATAATATTTTTATTTCTGCAAGATTAGGGAGAAAGGTCTGTATCGTTTGTCAATAAAACCTTTTTGTCTTTAAAGGCAGGCTCAGCTTAAAACTAAGGCACTTAGATTTGGTGTAGTTCTATGCAGCAACTGAGTGTCGAAAACTCCTTTATAGTAGAAACAGAAAATGCAGCCGAGAGAGCAATCAAATTTATCCTGGATTATATACACAGTAGTTGCTCAGGTGAATTGGTCATGTAGTTCATCTTTCCTGGGCTCAAAGCAGTCGTCCCCATGTAGGGCACTTCTGACACTTTGATATCCTATGACCTCTGAACATGTAAAGCTGACATAGGCTTCTTAGGATATCCAGGTCCTTTTCTAGTTGGAGGCAAGACCAGATTTCCATGTTTATACTGTGATACAAATATTGGTCATGCCAGCTGACACCCATATGAAGGTATCTTCAGCTTGTTGTATCTTCAGCATCAAAGTTTACAGAGCAAAAATCATAGAATGGCTTGGGTTGGAAGAGACCTTAAAGATCATCGACTTCTAACCCACCTGTCATGTGTAGGGACATCTTCAACTAGATCAGGTTGCCTAAAGCCCCATCCAACCTGGCCTTGAACATTTCCAGGAATGGGGCATCCACATCTTCTCTGGGCAACCTGTGGCAGTGCATCACCACCCTCACAGTAAAGAATTTCTTTGTAATATCTAATCTAAACCTGCTCTCTTCCAGTTCAAAGCTATTCTGCCTTGTTCTATCACTACATACCCTTGTAAAAAGTCCTTCTTTGGCTTTCTTGAATGCCCCCTTTAGGTACTGGGAGGCTGCTATAAGGTCTTCCTGGAGTCTTTTCTTTTCCAGGCTGAAAATCTCCAATTCTCTCAGCTTATGTTTGTAAGAGAAATACACATCTAGGACAGCTGTTTAGATTTTGTCAAGCCAGTGGTGAGCAAGAGACAACTCTGAAGCATGATTCTACCCAATCTCTTTCAAACATCCATCTAGAAGGGAACAAAGTGAATCATTGCTCTCTACTTTGACTTAAAAAATAAATATAAATAACAACTCAGATAAGTGTCTAATTGTGGGCAGACAAATCTTGTCCTTAGTGTTTTCTAGGAAAGCCTAAAGGAATCAAAGTTCAGTGAGGGTATAAAGTCTTAATCATTCTCACTTGTTTGGAAGCCAACATTTCTGTATTTTCCCAAGATTTTGAAATTTTTTACATTTTTGGCATGTGTGGATGTTTTATCAATACATTTTTGTGAATGACAACACATGAAAACCACGCCAATATCATCCACTTAAAAGCCATGCTGCCCAACAGCAAGTATTTTCAAAGAGTAGAGCTACAGCATCGAAAAACCACTGTCCCTGAATTTCGCTGCTGTTCAGAGATTCTACATCACTATCCCACTGGGACTGGCAACCGCCGTTACTTTTGCTGATGTACCAGAGCATGCTTTATAGAAACACTGAAAGAACAGAGCTCTGGAGAGCTCTTTAACCCAGAACTCTTCTCTGGCTAGTAATTGTTACATATGTTTAGAAGAAACACAATGAAAAAAACTCTGAACTTTCATTTGTAACAGATGATCAGGTAATGAATGAAATATGCAGAGTGACAGATTAAATAGTTTAGCATTTTCCATCACACTATTTCAACTGGAAGTCTCACTGAAGCTCATCTATTCCTATTAAAATCCAATCTCTACCTCATACTCCATCTAACTTGTGATGTGATCCAAGATGATGTGCAACAATACCTTATTTGCTTTCAGAATCAATAAGATTAATCTAGATTTCTCTCAGCCTTTCAAGTTGGCTTTTTTCAGACCATTTTAAATGGCTTTGAATCAAACTTCAGTACATTCCCTTGTTCTCTCCATGTGTTAAAGAAATGGCATACATAACCCTAGTGGCAAAATCCCAGTCCAGACAAAGTGCTTCTTCAAACAAGAATCTTTTAATGAGAACTTAGCCTTTGCATGTATATGTATATCCAGCATTTTAACTATGCAAGGTTCATCTTGATTTCTTATTTAAGAACTGTCTATACAGTAGCCGTTCTAGTAACTGGTATCAGAAACTGAGGAATGAAAAGTCAAAATAACTCCCCAAAATTATGTAGTATTGTTAGAGATCATATACCAAATGTGTTTTCTAATAAAAACCACGAGGAAAGTGCACAGGGAGTTGCATATCCATAGGATTTCAGTGCTTGCATTGAGAGGTAGGGGAAATATAAATTTAAATTCACTCAGGCAGATGAGGAAATTAATTCTTGACTTGCATATCTCTGAGAGTTTTCTAGACACTGACTTCAGGCAGAGGAGCATGTGGGTGTGCATGTGCACATTCACTATGTGGTGGGAGGAAGAGAAAAGGAGATGAGTAGTGCAAGCATCACAGTAGCTGTGACTTTTAAGAAAGCTTAGACTACTCTGTTTTTGAATGAAAGAAAACATACTGAAATGTACTTTCTCAACACAGCTCAAAACCTGTCAATACCACAGAGAAGAAAACATCCCTCTCTAGAGGGAGCTAGAATGGCAGATGAATCCTTTTATCAGTTTTATTGTTGACTACTTAAGCAGGTCCCTAGCCAGTGAACTTGCTTTAAAGCACTCTCTGTTCAGCATAATGTTTTGGGACCCTACTCAGTGTACCATAACTCTTCCAATGTGCTGCATCTGCAGCCTAAAGCTCACAGTTGTAAATTCTGCTTCCAAGCAGGCATCTCTAAGCCAAACTTCAGTCTTACTAGCATAAAATACTTGTCTTCAGTCCTGTAAGCTTTATTTTGAAAGAGCTTGCAAAAAAATAAGGTAGAGTTTAAAAGTGATGTTGAGGTGTACTGAGCTTCCTATAGAAACTATTCACTTGTTATATCCATTTTTTTCTCTAATGCATTGTAGCAATACTTGTCAGGCTTTCCATGATAGCAACTGTTTGAAGAAAGACAGAAAAGATTCTTACTTAGATCACTGGGGAATTCAGATGAGATTCATAATAAACCCCTATTTATTCAAAATAAAATAAAAAGATATTGTATGCATTCAGAGCAGATGTCAGAGTACAAGCAGTGCAGTGATACTATTTTGATTTAAACTGTGAACTGTGAACTCAGTAACTCCACATGTCTCTCTCATGCCCTCTGCCCAAGTGTATTTTAGCAATTGCGATCATTAGCTTTGTGAACTAAGTGAAGCATTAGTATCTTAGACCCTCATAAAAATGGATCAGCTGGAATTTCCCCTACTTTACCTAAAAAAATCCTCTGCATGGAGTTACATTGGCTCTCCAAAAAATAATCACCATTTGCTGATCTTCATCCTTAATAAATACATGCTTCAAAGGTACTGCAGTTCAATTTTTATCTACTAAATTTAATTTATAAATTACCTTAACTTGTAAACAAAATTCTTTAAGAACTACATTTGAAAGGTTTTTTTTTCCCCACTGAACCACCACATTATATTTCCAGACTAGTATTTTACCAGCAACATTTACATCTCATAGGTCTAGCGATAAAATTCTCTAATGCAATTTCATTTTTAAAATTAAACCACCTCTGTTGAAATTCTGTATCTGTAGTACACTGATGGTTTAAACACTTGCTGAAGACACATGAGAACTGGAGTCACTGATTTTGATTCTACATCACTTAAGATTAGGAAGAGAACTTCCAGCAGTCCCAGCAGTCAGTGCTGTGAGCACCAAGTTACAGCAAGCTCAAATGTACTCTCTCTCTTGCAACTGGTTTGATGTTTTCTATATTATGATCGAAAGACAAAGATACTTTCTAAGAGAAAGACAGAATTCAAATTTAAAATATCCTTGACTAACACAAAAAAAAATTAAAAATGGGATGAAGTGTAACAGGAAATAAAAAGTGTAAGGTTTTAAATGGTAGGAAGAACATCACTTGCATGGAAGAAGAAAAGCTTTTCTTCACCATTTCTTGAGGAATGGAAACAGGTAGGTAGCAGTGAGGATTGGCAGAAAAATATGGGCATCAGTATCTTCTTGTTACAATAAAGGCAAACAGATATTCTGTCTGCCTTCCTTCACATTCTTTCCCACTGATTTGTTTTTTTCTCACTCTTACAGGACAGTGCCCAAAAGTAAATACAGTTCTTCAGCTGAGTGGTACAGAAGGTTCCTTAAACACCAATGAATGTGAGGGAGGAATAATTTCATGCCCATGAAGTAATCCATCACCAGTGTTGCATTTAATACATCCCAGTATACTGTTTGCTTTCATAGAGTATTATGTCAGTGTTATTACGTGGCTACACTATATAGAAGAGGTAATG